CTGTGGACTGATGCTCTCTAACCACTTAGCCAAACTGACCAGGGCTGATCAATAATTTTTTTTTAAATCAGAAAATAAATAGCTATAGTTACTACAAACACACAACCAAATAGCCAAAACAATCTGGAAAAGGAATAACATTTAGAAGTCTCATACTTCCTGATTTCAAACCTTACTACAAAGCTACAGTAATCAAAGCAGTGTGGTACTGGCAAAAAGATAGATATTACTTATCTCCTAGCTTGTCAAGTTGTAAACATTCAATAGGTACAGCTTTCTGTATGTCAATCATATCTCAATAAAGTGCTTATAAATAAAAATATAGACATATAGACCAATGGAATCGAATAAAGAGCCCAGAAATAAACCCTCACATATAAGGTCAAGTGATTTTTGACAAGGGTGGGGAAAGGACTGTCTTTTCAACAAATGATGCTGGGAAAACTGGATATCCACATGCAAAAGAATGAATTGCCTGATATCATATACAAAAATGAACTCAAAATGGATCAAAGATCTAGACTTAAGACCTAAAACTATAAAACTAGAAGAAAACATAGAACAGAATCTTCATGACATTAGATTTAGCAATGACTTCCTGGATATAACACTAAAAGCAAAGGCAAAAATATAGAAAAAATAGAGAAGCTAGACTTTTGTGCATCAAAGGATAATATCAGCAGAGTGAAAGGCAACGCATAGAATAAGAGCAAATATTTACAAATCATGTACCTATCTGATAAGGGATTAATATCCTAAATATATAGAGAACTCCTCCTACAACCCAATGACTAAAACATAAACAACATGATTTTAAAATGGACAAAGGATTTGAACAGATATTCCTCCAAAGATTTACAAATGGCCAGTGAACATATGAAAAGATGCTCAACAGGCATCTTGATCACTAGGGAAATGCAAATAAAAACTTCAAGGAGATACCACCTCATGCCCATTAGGAAGACTATTATTAAAAAACAAACAAACAAAAACCCAGAAAATAACAAAGGCAAGGACGTAGGAAATTGGAACCCTTGTTCATTGCTGGTGGAAATGTAAAATGGTGCAGCTGCTATAGAAATGGGATGGAGGCGCCTCAAAAAATTAAACATAGAATTACCATATAAGTCAGCAATTCTCTTTCTGCCTATACATTCAAAAAAAGTGAAAGCAGAGCCTCTAACAGATATGTGTCCCCCCGTGTCCACAGCAGCATCATTCACAACAGCCAAAATGTGGAAACAACCCAAGTGTCCATCAACAGATGAATGGATTTATAAAATACAATATATAGATACAAGTAACATGTAATACATATATATGAATGTCATTCAGTCTTAAAATGGAAGGAAAATCTGACACATGCTACAACATACATGAACTTTGTAGACAATATGCTAAATGAAATAAGCCAGACACAAAAGGACAAATACTGTATAATTTGACTTATATGAGGTTCCTAGAGTAATCAAATTCATAGAGTCAGGAAGTGAATGGTGCTTTCCAGGGGCTGGAGGAGGGGGAACAGGGAGTTTTATTTAATGGTTTAATGTTTAGACAGAGTTTCAGTTGGGAAGATAAGAGTTCTGGAGACGCTGGTGGTGATGGCTGACGAGCAAAGGGATGTGCTCAATGCCACTGAATTGTGCACCTACAAATCATTCAAATTTCACATTGTGTGTTTTACCACAGTTAAAATTTAAAAAGAAGCTAAAATCATACATTTGTTATGCATACTTTACCGCAGTTTAGAAAAAGGAACTGAGCAGCACACTTTTCATTATCACAACCCCCACTGCCCCTCCCTCTGACTCACTCTCGGTGTCTCCATGTTAGTGTCCCCTCCATAGCAATACATATTGATAACACCACAGTTATCTCCTCATAAAAACAAGTACACACTAAAATTACCACTCTTGTCTTATAAAGATTTGGCTTTGGTAACCAAAGGAAATGCTTCGTGTTTAGAGGTGCAAGTCTAGGAAGTAATGGCATCGCCTAAAACACTGCTGGCATTCTGGCCCTTGTGGATTAATTTTATTTATTTCTTTCTGTTAATCCTCACCTGAGGATATTTTTCCATTGATTTTTTTTTTTTAGATAGAATGGAAGGGAGGGGGGAGGAAGAGACAGAGAGGAACATCGATGTGAGACAGACACATTGATTAGTTGCCTCCTGCAACGACTCCGACTGGAATAGGGGGTCGAACCTGCCACCCTGGTACATGCCTTTGACTGGCTTTCAAACTCGAGACCCTTCACACCTTGGGCTGATGCTCTTAACTGCTGAGCCAAACCAGCCAGGGCCTACGTAGATTAATTTTAAGATGAAAACACCTTTCTTCTATGTCATGACTGACTAAATCAGCCCATAGCTATGCTTTGTCTCCCACCCTCCAGTCGCCAGCCACCCCTAACGCACACCCTAGGAGTAGATTACAATGGCGTCAGAATTTGCCATGGGAAGTCTCCTTAAGCTGCTCTGGGAAACCAAGATTAAGTCATATTCAGGCCTTCCCAAAATATGTCCCAGAGGCCCCAGACCTCACCAAAGGAAGAAGATAAAGACAGCAACAGGATACAGCCTTTGGATGAAATTCACACCTTTCACCCCTCCAACGTGACCACAGACCTTTCACCTGGTGCAACATTTTCACTGCCTAGTTGCATCTCTAGTCAGTGCACTGAGCTATTATGCATGTGTGTTAAACACACACATCTTCTCAACTACATCCAGAAGCAGAGTTCTTCAGGATAAAGAGAAAAAGATGGCTTTGTCTTTGCTCAGCACCAGATCCAGGATCATCACAAAGCAGTTCTCACTGTGGACTGAGTGCAACTTAACTAAGGAATGAAAATGATCATCACTTGACACTTTGAGTTCTTTAAGCAGAGCTTAGAAAATGTTATAAACCAACAAATATAGTCATATAATTAATACTGAGTGTGAATTTATCAAAAAGGAATAATATCCAGCTTTCCTTTTAAAATAAAAACAACCCTGAAAGCCCATTTTCTTTTTAATAGCTGAATGTATCAGTTCAACATTCATCTGAACACTGCACTGCATACCTCCCAGGATTCCGTCGCAGCTCAAGGGAACAGTCCTGTTTACTGCGATAGAAAAATGGACATGGTCCGGCTCTCCTGAAGCTGACAGTGCACAGGAGAGACCGGCAATAAATAAACAAACCTACAAGTCTGTGCAAGGCTTATAAGCGGAATAAACGCCATGGAGGAGACAAATACAATTAACAGACGGCCGCGCTGAGATAAGTCAGATGCTGGAATCACCTGGGAAGGATTTTAAAGCAGCCGTGTGGTAAATCCGTGAAGATCAGACTAGCAAAATCAGCCTGCAACACTTGAGGACAGAGCAGTGCTGCGGACAAAGGAAGCTCCCAAATTAAGTGAGAAGAACCAGGCCCTCTATGTCTGATAAAGATATCACCAATACAAAAGAAGCAGCAGCCTAATCAATGAGAATATACAGGAATATACGAGGCCAGACAGAAATCTAGAAAAAGTGAAGGCAAACCCAGAAGTGAGCAGTACTGAAATCATCCAGCATTGCTCAGCCGATGGACGTCCAGCTGCCGATGGACACCAAGCTCCGGCTTATGATATAGCTCTGCTCGGTCTGGGGTAGGGATGGCTTCCAGGTTTTCTGTGCCTCTTCAGACTCTTACACTCCTGATATGGTCCTAAATTTACCAGGAAATCTTTTGGTAACCAGTTCTACTTATACTTGAATACCAATTGTTATAGTCACTGGAAAAGTTTCTTCTAGTAAATTAACTCCTTGGCATTCTCATCAATCCCTTGTGAATCTCATTAGTTTAAGTAAAGTCAGTCCCAAAGGCCTAGTCAGTCCTGGATGAACTACTTACTGGCAAAGACAAGTTCCCAGATCTGCAAAGTTAGGGACCATCTCCTAAGTCCAGAAGGTACATTATGAGCCTGGCCAGCTGGCGATCCCCTGGCTAACGGCCCTCTCTGCCTTGATCTCTCACTTCCACAGGTAACAAATCTGCCTTGCAAATAGCTCTCCAAGATCCTATTCAACTCACAAATTCAAAACAGACCTACTCTTATCTGCCAAAGTCTTTCTTTCCCTTACTACTCAATGTCGTCTAAAATCATTCTCCAAAATGCATATTCTACATACAGCATCCAACACAAGCATAGATTCCTACTGGACACTGTAAAAGAGCACTCAGAGTAAAGCAGGCTGCATTTCTTTAGCCACTACCAGAAAAGTATAAGTTCGGGATTTCATTTGTCCTGGTCCTGAGCCCTTAGATATAAGCTTCACCACTTCAAGTTCCTGCTAAATTTTGCTTTAACAAATTTTCACCGCTCTTCTATTTTTTTAATACCTAAAGATAAAAGGTCACAATATTCCTGACAACTAAAATTCACTAGTGACAAAAAAAATTCCTGCAAATTCTTGTTTGTGATTGGCAAGTGCTTAATTTTTTAGATGTTATAGCAACCCACATTCGGCAGCGTAACAAAATGGTTTCTAAGAAGTGCAGAGACAGCCAGCTTGTACTTGGAATGTGACATGAGCCCTCCCACACATGACAGCACACTGGAGGTTTAGAGAGTTTCACAGTGAGCTCCGTACCTGTTGCAAATGAGACTTCAGCACATCATTTGCAAAAAGCATTTTCTCAGGACTTATTTGTTTGAGAAAATAGAATTGACAGAGCCCGAGAATGGACTAAAAAACACACAAACGTTAAATCTACAGAACACTATTTCAAATAGGATTGATCTACTCAGTACTTTCCTGACTACACCATGGTGACTGTTTTTCAATCCAAGGCAATAACAAGGAGCAGACAGCCTCGGTCTCATGTCTCCCCATGACCTGAACTGCTTTCAATACTGTAAATGCATGTTTGCTGAACTGCCAGCCAGAGACATCGCTGCTTTGGAGTAACAGAGGCATCTGAGGGAGAAACCATCTGAAAGAGATTTACACTGTCACTTACCTCCACTGCGACTACAATCAAAATGAGGTCCGTCTTTGACTCTGGAAACAGCGCGTTCACTTGCGGCGACATCCCAATCAGAGCACAGTTGGTGACCACAGATATAACACTCATTGTTTCAAAAGCCAACTAAAAGAAAAAGAAAGTGAAATTAAAACCACAATGGCTGCTTCCATATTTCCTCGCCCTTGGTTGTACTGCTAAAATCAAAGGAAAGTCTTTCCTTACTTCTGAACATTCCAAGGACATTTTACAATTTTTCTCTATAATGCTGTATTTTCTGTAGCTTAGAAAAGCCACACTGTAGAAGGTATTTTAGAATCTTTTGGCTTAAATATCCCAAAGCAACATGTTCTACCTTTCCAGTTGGAGGTGGCCAGGGACCTGAATTTGGAATACATCCTCGAGGACTAGGCTGCTAAAGTGACTCACATCTAACGGGAATCTGAAGCAGGGCCCCAGAGGAAATGTTTCACAGTCAAAAACAGTTAGGTACAATTTCAAATAAAATTTACTTTGTGAAATTGTCCTTCTACTTGGACAGATCACATGGAAAACTTCAGAAAAATACAGACGCCAGACCCCACTGAGACCTGCAAATAGACTCCAGGGTCCCAGCAGGACACTGGTGTGCAGTGCTGAGCACAGACTGTGGGAATGTCGTGACCACTGCCCTTCCTGATCTTTCTTTCTTTTTTAAAATTTTTTTTCTTTACCGACTTTTAGAGAGAGAGGAAGGGAGAGAGAAAGAGATAGAAACATCGATGAGAGAGAACATTGATCAGCTGCCTCCTGCATGCCCCCCACTGGGGATTTGGCCCACAATCTGGGCATGTGCCCTGACCGGGAATTGAATCGGCAACCTTTTGGTGCATGAGTCAACTCTCAACCACTGAACCACACCGGCCGGGCTTGCTTTCTTTTTTAATATAAGAAATATAATTACTATTAGAAATAATAGATTTTTTAAAAAGCAAGGTAAAACATGATTAGATCTAAACTTAATAAAATCTTATCCCATGGAGAATTTCTACCATCATATTTATATTTTAGGAATCCTTTGTATAATCTGATTATTTTTCACAGTTTTCTTTACAACATATACTCGGGGTTTTCTTTACCTTCTCTTTAGATAGGATAAAATTTCAATTTATTTGTTTTTTAAAATTATATTCCCACAGTTGAAAAATCAAACATTATTAAGTGTACAGTGAAGAGTCCTCCTTGTTCCCCTCTCCCCACCCCACTTTCAAGCTCCTGTTCTCTCTTCAAGATAATATTAATTCCTATGTACCCTTCTAGACACTTTGTGTGCAACTATAAGCAAATTTGAATATATGCTTTCTTACTCTCTTCTCAGCATAATAATACAAATCATTAGACCCCTTGCTTCTATCACTTAAAACCTCTTGGAGGATATTCTGTGTCAGTACTCAAAGACTTCCCTCATTCTTTGTCACAAATGAAGTATTTCACTGCAACTTATTTAACTATTCCCTTATTGGTAGGCATTAGTTGCTTTTACAAATAATGTTACAATTAGTAACCTTGTAAATACATCATTTAACAAGTGTGGAAGTACCATACATTCCTGAAAGTGGAAAGATGCCACTCACTGGTGGTTTTGATAGGTGATACCGAGGAGCACTCCAAAGGGTTGACCAGTTCACCATCTATCAACAGCCTAGAGAGTGTCTGGTTTCCTGCATTTTGAATACATTTCTAACTAAGTTTTTGAATTTTTTAATATCACCTACAGTGAGTTATAGTTTACATGTAATAAACTGCCCTCATTCAAGGTATATACTTCATTAAGTTTTGATAAATTCACCATTACAAACAAGATACAGAACATTTCCGTTTTCCTCTAAAAGTGTCCTCATGACACTTTGCAATCCGTCCCTCTTTATACCTGGCCCTGGGGCAAACACTGATCTGCTCTTTGTCACTATGTATTAGTTTGCATTTTTCAGAATTTGACCTAACTGGAATCATAGCATATAGTCTTTTGTGTCTGTTTCTTTCACTCAGCATAATTTTGAGATTGATCCATACTATATGGATCAATAATTCATTCCTTTTTTATTGTTGAGTAGTGCTCCATTTTATGAATAGACTATATTTGTTTTCATTCATTTACCTAGTGATGACAGGTTGGGTTGTTTCCAGCTTGGGACTACTGTGAATAAAGTGATTAGACATTGCCATACAGTCTTTGTATGGGCATATTCTTTCCTGCCCCTTGGATATCTAGGAGTGGACGTTTGGGGTGGCATGATAGGTGTGCATTTAGCTTTTTAATAAACCACCATCTAGTTTGGCCAAGGACTGTAACATTATACAGTCACCAGTGATGTATAAGAGCTCCAGCGACTACACGTCACTGTCAACCTCTGGCCTTCTAAATTCTAAAATGGGAACATGGTGTGTCTCACTGTGGTGTTCATTTGCATTTCCCTGGTAACTGATTCTAAACCTTTTCATGAGCTCATTGGCCATTCCCAAGTGTTCTTTGGTAAAGCATTTCTTCAAATCTTTTGTCCATGTTTTTACTAATTTAATTGTCTTATTGTTGAGTTGTATGAGTTCTTTATATAATCTGAATACAAATCCTCTGACAGACAAACGTATTGTGAATATTGTCTCCCATTCTGTGTGTCTTGCCTTTTTTTTCCTTTTTGAAAAGCATTTTTCCCCCTTCATTTGAAAACCTAGCTATCTCAACACTATTAGTAGAGAGTCCATCATTTTCCCCATTGAACTGAGATTTCACCTAAATCACATACTGATTTCTGGATGTTCTTGTCTGTCTATTGGCCTGGCTGTCTATCAATGCATAAGTACCACACTATTTTAATAACTGCCATTATAGACAACTTTATCAACTTGTTATTATGATAACTACTGACACGTGGTAAGGTGTGTCCCTATTTTTCTTCTTTAGGGCTTTCCTGCTGTTCTATTTTATCTATTTTTCTGTGTGAACTTGACAATAAGTTTATCTAGTTAAAAGAAAAACTTTCGTTGGCATAGTGCTGCATTTATAAATTAATTTGTAGATTAATTAATTTATAAATTAAAGGAGAACTGATATACTTAGAATAGTAAGTCTTCCTACTGAATCAGTTAGCTATTGTTGCACATAATATACCACCCAAAACTCTGTGGCCGAAAACAATAGCCATTTACTTAGCTCATGATTCTGCAGGTAGATAATTTAGGCTGTTTTTCTGGTCTCAGCTTTGACTGGACTTGTGGTCAGCTAGTGGGTAAACTGTAAATGTCATTGGCCTTATTATTCTAGTTAGAACTTCTAGTACTATGTTCAATACAAGTGGTGAAAGTGGACATCTTTGCATTGTTCTAATCTTAGAAGAAAAGCATTCAATCTTTCACCAATAAGCATGTTAGCTTTAGGTGTTTTTTAATATGCTCCTTATCAAGTTGAATAAGGGTTGGATTTTGTCAAATGCTTTTTCTGTAATGATTGATATAATCATATGATTTTTCTTCTTTAGATTATTAATATGGTAGATTACACTGATTCATTTTCTAATACTGAAAAAGACCTGCATTCCTGGACTAAATCCTACTTATCATGGCATATAGTTCTTTCTTTCTTTCTTTCTATTTATTTATTTATTTATTTATTTATTTATTTATTTATTTATTTATTTATTTATTTATTTTTATTTTTTGGTACATGCCCCCAGCGGGAACCAAACCTGGGACTCTCTGGTCCCCAGGCCGACACTCAACCGCTGAGCCAAACTGGCCATGGCTGTAGTTCTTTTTATATGTTGCTAAATTCTATTTGCTAATATTTTGTTAAGGCGTTTTGTGCATTTATTCTCAAGGGATATTGATTTGTTCCTTTCTTTTTTTGTCCTCTCTTAGTCTTGTTTGCCATCACACTGATAGTAGCTCATAAAATGAATTGAAAAATATTCTCCTCTTCTACTTCTGGAAGAAATTGTATCAAATTGGTATTCATTCTTCTTTTTCTTCTTCTTTTTACTTTTTTTTTTTTCTTTATTGATTTTAGAAAGAGAGGAAGGGAGAGGGAGAGAGATAGAAACATGGATGAGAGAGAACATCGATTGGATGCCTCCTGCATGCCCCCACCCCATGGGAATTTGGCCCACAACCTGGGCATGTGCCCTGACCAGGAATTGAACTGGTGACCTCTTGGTGCATGGGTCTATGCTCAACCACTGAGCCACACCAGCCAGGCAATGTTCATTCTTCTTTAAATGTCAGAACTCACCAGTGAAACCATTTGGGTCAGGACATTTCTTTTTTGGGAATTGTAATTGCGAATTTAATTTTCTTATAGTCATGGGGCTACTCATATTATCTACTTCATATTGAGTGAGTTGCAGTAGTTTGTGCTTTTGGAGAAATTTTTCCATTTCATCCAAGCTGTCAAATGAATTGTTTGTAATATTCCCTTATTCTTTTGATGTTTGTAGGGTCTGTAGTGATTTCATTTTTTATTTTGGTTATTTTTGCCTCCTCTCTTTCTTTTTTAGTCTTGCTGGAGATGTGTCAATTGCATTGATCTTTTCAAAGAACCAACTCTTTGTTTCATTGATCTCTATTATTTCTGTTTTCAATTTCATTGATTTATACTATTATCCTTATTTCAGCTGTTTGGGGTTTATTTAGTTCTGTTTCTCATTTCTTGAGTAGGAGCTTAGATTACTGATTTGAGATTTTTTTTTTCTCTCTTTTCCACTGTATGCATTTAGTGCTACAAATTTCCCTGTCAGCACTGCTATAGCTGTGTCCCACAACTTTTGATATGCTCTATTTTCATTTAAAATCAATTCAATGTATCTTTTGATTTCACTTGACACCTTCTCTTCAACCCATTATATATACAAATGTGTTTTTTAGTTTTCAAGTGTATGGAGACTTTTCTGTTATCTTTGTTATTGATTTCTAGTTCAATTCCATTGTGGTCAAAGAACATACTGTGTATGATTCCAATTCTTTAAAATTTTTGAAGTTGGTTTTATGACCAGAAGATGGTCCATCTTGTTCAATGTTCTATAAGTACTTGAAAAAAAAAATGTGTATTCTACTGTTGTTGAATAGTGTGTTCTACAACATCAATAAGATTCCATTATGTGATGGTATTGTTGAGTTCTTCTATATCCTGGCTGATTTCTATCCAGTGTTAATTGTTGAGGAAGTGATGTTGAAGTCTCCAGGTATAATTGTGGACTTATTTATTTTTCCTTTCAGTTTTATAAGTTTTTGGTTCACACATTTTAAAACTTGTTGTTTGATGAATACATATTAAGATTGCTACATGTTGGTAATTGGCCCTTTTATCATCATAAAATGCTCCTGTCTGATCATTTTCTTTGCCCATTTATCTGATATTAATATAGCTACTTCTGTTTCCTTGTGATCAGTATTTCCACATGTATCCTTTTCTATTTTTTCTTTTTCTCTTTTTGGTACGTGCCCCTAGCACCAAACCCGGGACTCTCTGGTCTGCAGGCCGATGCTCCAACCACTGAGCCAAACCGGCCACGGCCTTTTCTATCCTTTTACTTTCAACCTGCTTATATCATTATGTTTAAATTGAGTTTCCTATAGACAGCATATAGTTGGGTTATGTGTTTTAATCCACTTTGACAATCTGTCTTTAACTGGTGTCTTTAGATTCTTTGCAATTAATCTAACCATTAATATGTTAGGACTTAAGTCTACCATTTCTTTATTTTCTGTTTGTTCCCTAATTTTTCATTTATGCTTTCTTTTTCTTGTCTTATTATGAGTTACCTAGACATTTTTTGATATTCCACTTTGATTTATCTGTGTTTTGAAGGATATCTTTTATATAGCTTTTTAGGGGTTGTCTAGGTGTGTGTGTATATATATATGTGTGTGTGTGTATCCACATATATATTACATTTTATATATGTGTACATATATTTTTTTCCTTTAACCTGTGTTGTTATTTATTAGCTTGAGTAAAATATAGAAATTTTACCTCCTTTTACCATTCCCAATTTATAACTATCTTAATCTTTTCTCTACATATAGTATTTATTTATTCATTTATTTTATTTTTATCCTCACCCGAGGACATTTTTGCATTTATCTTCAGATGGGGGAGAGGGGAGGGAGGAAGAGAGAGAGAGAGAAACATCACACGACCCCAACTGAGGCTAGAGACAAACTGCAACCGAGGTACGTGCTCTTAGCAGGAACCGAACCCGGGTCTCTCCAGTCCACAGGCTGACGTTCTAACCGCTGGGCCAAACAAGCCAGGGCTACATATAATATTTAGAATCATTAGATAGTGTTCTATTTTTTGTTTCGGTTCTCAAACATAACTTTAAAGACTCAAAGAAAAGGAAACTATTGTTTTTACTTGTACTTTTGTTTAGCTTTTCTTTTTCCCTAATGTCCCCAGATTCCTACTTTTATCATTTTCTTGGCTGGAGAACTCTGTCATACTTTCAGGACAGGTCTGCAGGAACAAAGGTCTCTTCGCTGCCCCTCCTCAGCGTGTCCTGTCCCTCCTTCCCCTGAAGCACACCTGGACGGAAGCGGCTGCACTGGCAGTACTTCCTCTGAGCCCCTGAAAACACGGTGCCGCTGTCTTCTGACACCACGGGGTGGGGGGGGCCTCGTTAGTGAGTGAAGGCCGAGCTGGCCACTCTCCCAGAAAATCGTCAAACTTTTACATCTGAAAGGAGTCACAGAGATTATATTTTACCTCCCTCACTCCTACCCCCAATTTTAAAAATAAGAAAAGTGAGGCCCAGAGAAAGGTATGATTATTTGAAGTCACACAACTAGTTTATAGCAGAGCAAGGATGAAATCCAGTTTTTCCAAATCTCTTCTTGGGGCTTTTTGTTTTTAAATTACAATGCTTCATTTTGTTACTTCTTTTATTTTATTTTATTTAATCCTCACCCGAGAACATTCTTCCATATTTTGTTCAGATAGAGTGGGAGGGGGGGGAGAGAGAGAGAGAGAGAGAGAGACATCGACGTGAAAGGGACACATCGAGTGGCCGCCACCCGCACAACCTAACCAGGGCTGGGGACAAACTGCAACCGAGGTACATGCCCTTAGCGGGAACCGAACCCAGGTCTCTCTGGACGGCAGGCCGATGCTCTAACGGCTAAGCCAAACCAGCCAGGGCTGTTACTTCTTTTAAAGGAAGAATTTTTGTCGAATAATTACCTGCCACACACCAATACTGGCCGAGGGCTCTGAGAATGGACGTTTGAAGACTCTGCACATTTTTAAGGCATCTGAGTTAACTTCGGTGAAGTTGTTTAACACGGCGAAGGCGGCTGCTAACGGGTAAACACACGAGAAAAGGCTCACGTATCCAAACTGCAGCAATAGCTCCAAGTAGTCATCAAAAGTGCCCTGAAAACGTGAACCACAGGAAGAAAACGGGCATTCTTTTAACATCGTGTAAAAATACCAATGTCACCCCACTAAATTTTACTTTTTTTAAATTTAAAAAAAGAAGTTGTTTGTAATATTATCCACTGCATGGGCTTCTAACAACAATAAACAAAAATCTCAAAGAGTTTCTACCAATTCCTTCTTCTCACAATAGAATTTACTTAAAGTCAAAGGCAATTTTATACTGAAGTCGCTGAACTAAAGAATGAAGAAATGATTTAGCTGCTTATCTAATGCCAAATTATTAACTTACCACACTTTTTCTAAGGTGAACAATAGCAAAGCTAAATATGTTTGCTCTTGACCAAGAAAAAAGAAATGATGTGGCATCACTGTTAGAAACCTTACACGATGGCCCCCTCATATCATGGGCACCCCAGAATCTCAGTCCCTGACACTCCATTAAAAAATACAGTGGCCTGGCCAGTATGGCTCAGTGGTTGAGCATCGACCACCAAGAGGTCGCCAGTTCGACTCCCAGTCAGGGCACATGCCCAGGTTGTGGGCCTGATCCCCAGTGGGGGGGCATGCAGGAGATGGCCAATCGATGTACTCTCTCATCGATGTTTCTCTCTCTCTCTCCCTCTCCCTTCCTCTCTCTCTACATTAATAAAGAAAAAAAAAATTTTTTTTTAATCTGAGAGTGGTGATGCTTGCAGAAATGGTAAAGACCTCCAGAAGTTCGCCTCTCCAAAAACAAACAAAAAGGACAAAATTTGTCAGAATCAATTTTTTCAGTACTGTGAAAATTAACCAAAGGCTTGTAGCAACCCAGGAAGCACTCAGTAAAGAAAACAGCTAGATTTGGTGGCATTCCAATTTACTCCAGTTTCACCTCCTGCCCCCAGCTCTACAGCAACCCTAACGAGTAGCAGGCGCTCCCAGCACCGGGGGAGCGGAGCAGGGCTGGAGGTCTTGGGAAGCCGCATCCCAAAGGGAAGTCATACTCTGACCCGGACAACGGTGCCCCGTGAGACTCTACTCACAAGCCTTGTCTTTATTCAGCCTCACTGGGTCTCACCCAGTGCTGAAGGCTTCTCCCCAGAAATGTTGTATGACACAAAAGGCCATGCCCTGTATGATTCACCTACATGAAATGCACAGAATAGCTAAATCCATGGAGACAGACAGTACATCAGTGGTTGCTAGACTGAGGAAAGGTGTGATTGCTAATGGTATGGGGATGATGAAAATGTTCTAGAATTAGGTAGTGGTGATGGCACATTCTTGTGAACTTATTAAAAAATAACTAAACTATACATCCTAAAATAGTGAATTTTATGGTACTAGAATCTTACCTCAATTCTTTTAAAAGTAAAGAAAAACAAAGCTGATAGTAACAAGGGAACTCCCAGAGTCACCCTAGCAAGAGTAGTAGATACATCAGAGAGGCCAAAGAAAGGATTCTACAGCAGAAAATATGAAAAAATCCCTCTAAAACTATGTTTAAAACAACTCCTTCCTGGTATGTTTTAAAAGACAATTTGAGCCCTGGACGGTTTGGCTCAGCAGTTAGAGAATCGGCCTGCGGTTCAGAGAGACCCGGATTCGGTTCCCGCTAAAGGCATGCACCTCGGTTGCAGTTTGTCCTTGGTCCTGGTTGGGTCGTGTGGGTGGCTGCTGCTCAATGTGTCGCTTTCATGTCGATGTTTGTCTCTCTCTCTCTCTCTTCCTCTCTCTCCCTCCCACTCTATCAGAACAAAAAATGAAAAAATGTCCTCGGGTGAGGATTAAAAAAAAAAAAAGGTATCAATTTGAGGGGGAAGAGATACAGACAGTATGGTGTGAGGTATTTCATGATCTTTAATAACTGGACAAAGGAGCCTTCACTGAAGCAGGTGCCTGAGCACTGTGCCATCACCTGAGTAACATCACCACCTCTCAACGGGACACAGTGACATGCCACTCGAATGCCTCGCTAGATGCCTGTTGTTCACAACGTCACATTCACTCTGACCCAAGAGAAGCTGAGGGATGCTTTACGTTGTGCTGTGACAGACGGAGAGCCAGCCCCATGTCGCCTGAGGCCACACTCGCCGATGTCTGGAGTCCAGGGCCTCCTCGTGATCACCCTATGCACACGCAGTGACAACTTCCGTTTAAGAAAATACTCATCACAATACTTTAAAGCATTATTAAATATTAATGTTTCTAAATGAATCACTATTACTACTGCATCTCAGAGCCAGTCTTTCACCAATATATGCATATTAGGCTCAGCAGCCAAGAGCTTTAGTATAAGTCAGATTCTACTGTAGTCAGTAGAATTCTTTTCTCTTTTACGAAAAGAGAAAATATATGAACATAATTATAGAGTATTGGCAATGGTGCCAAGTACTTCTTTTAGATGCTCTGGTATTTGGATGAAGCATGAGCCCAAGGATTTCGAGTGTCACTGGCAGTGTTCAAGGCTCGCCAAAGAGAAACACCAAACGTGTGTGTTAGGGGCTGGCAGGTTGATGCTCAGCTGGGATTCGGTGGCGAGCAGTTTCTAAACCACTCTGGTTGCATTTGGCTCTGGAATGCATTTCCTTATGTTGTGTTGCAGCATACAGATGTGGTTTTAAAATATGCCCAGTGATATAGCATTGATTTAATTCTCTGAAGAGTGAAGTAATCAAGAGTGGGGAAAGAGTAAAAATCTTAGCAATCGAGCCATTTCTACCACAATTTGGTCTTAAGAAACACTCATAGCCTATGCTCAGCTTTCAAACCGTGCTGTTTTGGCTCATGAAGTAAAGCGGAGCCTCTGCGGAGAGGTGCAGACAATGTCTCCCATGTGCCGCTGGGCAGTCTGGAAGTGGGGCCAGGGTCTGCCTGGCACTTTTAGCCTATGACACCCAGTGAGCAGAAAGAGAGCGAGTAAACTTCTATTCCAGATGAACATACAAATTTAAATTCTTAAGTATATGAAAAAAAAAACTAACTATGAAAGCCAGTCAAAAAATTCAGTAATCAGGAGACAAATTAGTTCATGGTGAAAAACAAGACTATAAAAGTTTAATGACATTGGACCCTCAATGAAGGCCCTGTTTCACTAAGAACATACCATACCAAGAAGGAAGATGCAGGATATGGGAAACAATGATCTAAAGCAAATGTGACCCCGATGCCACCCCCAACAGAGAAATGTGAATGTAGCCAGAGCTCAATAAAAGTTTGTTAAATACATGGTTAGGTTTTACAGTCTTCCAATGATCTACTTATAGTTCTTTAAAAATCTCAGAATTCTGTCTTAAAGGAACTACTTTATATTTACACTAGCACTAAGTATTAAAACTATAAATTAATCTTCAGATTGGCATTCATTTTTAGCAATGGGCTTCAATCATTTCTTTGTGTGTTTTTTAATTTTGAAAATTATTTTCAATTACAGTTTACCTATGCCTTTGTATTCATTTCAGGTGTGCAGCCTAGCAGTTAGGCAGTCATATACTCGACAAAGTTCCCTCCGATGTCTCCAGTACCCCCTTTCGGTCTCGTCTTTGCGTTTGGAGCAAGCCTGCTGCTGCCGCTCCAGATCCTGTCACCCCCCCGCTCTGCCATCCCGGAAGCTGCTACGCCCACCACCTCGGGGGAGCAGTCACGATCCACCAAACCCATGCTTTGGTGCATCAGGCCCAACTCCAGGTCCAAGGCAGCAGCACTTCACTGTGCAGTCCGTCTTGACGATAAAGCAGCTCACGGTGAGGACGCTGGCTGGAGAGCACTGAGCTGAGATGTGTGTGGAACTCGGTGCAGGACGGTTATTCACACTGAGTCAATGTTAAGTTCAACAAGATTCAAACTTACCAGATACGTGCCCATTTCTTTTTCCAGGACAACTTGTTCATACAAGGTAGCGTCGATGTCCGCCTTCAGAGCCTGCACCTTCTTCTTCACCCGCACGTGGTGCTTCCTTTGGAGCCAGTAGGGAAGAATAGATTCCACAATCTGGTTAAGGATCTGGGACATAATCAGGAGAGTGGCCAGGCTCTAAAGAGAAGCGCATAATAAGTGTAGCTTAATAAAACCACAGCATGTGTAGAATTATGCAAATAAAATGGAATTTTCAACAAATAGTATACTATTGTTACAAAAACTAGTCTCGGAAAAGCGAAGTGTTAGAATGATGTTTCTAATCTATTTTTTCATAGAGAAGACCGATTAAAACACAAAAAAGATTACAATATAGTTTGGCCAGTGTGGCTCAGTGGATTGAGCGCTGTCCATGGACTGAGAGGTTCTGGTTCGATTCCCTGTCAGGGCACATGCCAGGGTTGCAGGCTCGATCCCCAGTAGGGAGTGTGCAGGAGGCAGCCAATCGATGTTTCTCTCTCACATCTATGTTTATCTCTGACACTGATGTTTCTCTCTCTCTCCCTTCCTCTCTCTAAAAAAATCAATAAAAACATATTTAAAAGTAAATAAATAAGGTAAGTAATCTCAAAGTGTCATTTAAAAAGGTTACAATGCAAATAAGATTATAATAAAAATAAACCAGTTATAAATCTGCAGAACAAAATACCTTAAAATTGCGTTTTTATTATCTCATCCTGGCTACAAAATATGAATATCTAAATGATGTTGCCAATTTTGAAAAAAATAATAGTTTGGCCAGAACTTTTAAAATATTATACAACTAATATATCCCCCCACCCCCCACACTGTAAAAAAATCTTATAAAATGGTAAAAAAAAGTAAGTCACCCATAATTCCACAACCAGGACACAACCACTGCTAACATCTTAAATATTTCCAACCATATGTAAAAATTAAAGTAGAATCATCCGATACATTTTTTTTTAATCCTCACCGGAGGAAATTTTTCCATTTATCTTCATATAGAGTGGGAGGGAGGGAGAGAGAGAGAAACAGAGATGTGAGAGGGGCACATCAACCAGTTGCCTCCCACATGACCCTGACCAGGGCCAGGGACAGAACCACAACTGAGGTACGTGCCCTTGATCAGAATCAAACCTGCAACTCGTTGGTCCGCGGGCCAATGCTCTAACTGCTGAGTCAAACCAGCCAGGGCCATCCAATACATTTTATATACAGCTTTGTATTAGTTCCTTTCTCTTGTAAGATACTGTGAGCACTTTCCCGTGTCATTAAAAAGTCTTTCCTTACGTAGCCCATGCACTGTTGTCGAATGCAGGTGTTTTCCCAACCTTGACTATTGCAAGTGCTGCTCCTCGGAACCTACGTACATGACTCTTCACCCCATCTCTGATGATTTACTAGGGATGAATTAAGGATCTTGGCAAAGCTGTCGGTGTGGTTTCCAGAGGTGGTATGTCAATTTCTACTGTCCCTAGATGCGTGTCAGTGTCTCCATCACACACCGTCTTTGTTGGTATTAAAGTTCTACTTTTTAAAGAATCCTCTCCCATCCCTCTGTCCCGTTAAATAAAGGAGACCCTCTAAAGTCTAAGAAGTGAGAATTCATACCCCACTAATACAGTAGGTATTTCAAAAGTATTATTTTGAACCTTTTCAATTTTCCAAAATAATTTATTAAAAGTTGTAATATATATAGTATAGTTATTAAGAGCACAAAATTAGTTAACTTTTATGCAAACTGTTAGGATCATAACCACAAAATCTTAATTTTCTGTGTTATACAAATTTTTTAATTTCCTGAAAAATGACCCCTAGTTCCCATGTAAATACTAACGAGCCGAGACTCTGAGACCGCTCACTAGCAGTCCCGGCAAGTTAACACCAGGCAGGGCAGCCCTTTCTAAAACAATTAGAAAGCAGAAACTGCACTCAGTTTACTACTCACTGTTGTTATGTGGCACAGAAATGGCAACAGAACAAACTATATGTCAGACTCTCTCAAACATGCATGGGATCTGCTGGTCTCTAAAGTACGCGACTTACTCATTTAAAAATGAAATGTGTACGACCTAAGTAAGGTCACACCTATCACCCCCTGCCCCACGACACATGCAAAAGTTTAAAAACTATATATGTTTTGCTGTTAGAATTGTTTTTACAATTCTATACAAATACAAATATACAGGAACTACATGTTTGGTTTTACTGGCCTGTATCATTAATTTTACAAGTTGGTTAGCTTCAATTAATTTCTTTTCAGTTGAGTACACTAATGGGTTTTCTTTTTTTAATTAGAATTGGGCTTAGAAATAGACAAAACTTAAAAGATTTTATTTGTAAAACTAATCATGGAAAGCCAATTACATGACCTGACTATAGGAAACAGCCTCTGAACCCTAAAGAACGGGTCCCTGCTGTTCCCACTCACCTGACGCAGGAGCTTCATATCCTTCAGGACAAAGGCAATGTAGAAGAGTGAGGCAAAGCAGTTTAGAAAGTTGAACTGGCAAAAAAATGATAACGATATTTAGTATTGCTTCATAGCACTTTATCTTCACAACTGTAAATACAGCGTCTAAAACGGTACCGAGAGACTTCCAGTCCAGACAAGATGGCAGACTTGTCACCCTCCCCTCCTCCTCAGTAAGCACATCTACAAACGCTGGACCCAGAGCGAGAGGCAACCAGAGGAGAGCTCGGAGGAAGTGGTCCGGTTCGGCCCGGGCCTGGGTAAACGACACGGCACCACTGCAGCTTACATTCCACGTTCGTACAAAAGCAGGCCCACCATTCCCCACCTCCAGCCTGTTAACCCAGCCAGCCCAGGAGGGTTCACTCCCCATTCGCCCCCTTTATAAGCCCGACAACAGCAAATGACCCCAGCAGAACTGGGCAAGACCCCTACTGACAGTAACTTCCAGGGGCTATGTTCTCCTTCCTTCTGCCCTGCCAGGCCTGACACTCCCCTGCCCCATGGAGATTCGCTGGGATGGCCAGGCAGCACCAGCAAGGCAGACCCCACCACCACCACCACCACAGGTAGCCCGGCCCTGGACGCCTCTTTGTGCCCACGGACCTGACTCCTCACTCTCACAGGGCGACACCTAGGCAGATGAGTGGCACCAGCAAGCGAGACCAGCCCTAACAACCACCGAGTCCGGGAGGCATCTCCATCACCATAGGCCTGAGAGGCCCCTGCCCTGCTCAGACACACAGTTCTGGGCTGGGGATCCCACTAGAACAAGTGCTATTTCTTTAAGTAGTTCCCCTGCTCAAGAATCTGCAACCACTCTCTGCCTAAGGGGCTCCTCTCTGCCTCCAGCCCCATGCTGGCTACTTCCTGCTTAGCAGCTCCCTTAGCAGACAGAAGACTGATGAGTACAACCGTGAGCACTTCATTCGTGAGGGAATGGGGAGTCACTGGAAGAGTGAGCAGTAAGATCAACACAGCCAGAGTAGGGATGGGGTGCCCAGTTAGAGTAGAAGGTGGAGGAGTGGGAAATGCATTCCACCTAAGATTAAAAAGGAAGAGCCCAGCCCGTGTGGCTCAGTGGATTGAGCATCATCCCATGGACTGGGAGGTCCCAGTTCAATTCCCGGTCAGGGCATATGCCCAGGTTGCAGGCTCGATCCCCAGTATGGGGCATGCAGGAGGCAGTCGATGGATGTATCTCTCACATCGATGTTTCTATCTCTCTCTCCCCCTTCCCCTCTCTCTCTAAAAAATCAATAAAAACATATCTAAGAAAAGGGAGGAAGAGACCTAGGAAACACAAGCAGATTCTAATGTGTGAGTCCTTTCACAAGGCAGTCACCTGACACTGTATCTGAAATGTCAAAGAATAATCAAGTCCCACAAATAACTTCAAGACAAATGGAGTGTTTAACCTCTAAGGACAAAAGCTCCATATTAATATCAATTTGAATGATCTTTCCCATGCATTACATGTTCCCTTGCTTTCTTACACAGAGAACATAGACTGTAACTTCCTTGCTGATTCAGCATCAATATTATGAATATCAATTACTTCACGAGCTAGAATGAGGCCTTTAGAGCCTTTTTTGATATTCACGGCCACTTGCTCCTTTTCTAATGTCCAATTTGCTAAAACTGTTGAATTACTAGCATCTGTTATGACATGTTTTCTATTTCTAAGTCTGCTCTTGCCTCCATAGTTATAATTTACCTGCTCCCAGAAACCTAAACACCTTCCCAGTGGTGGTGTCTGATCTTTTAAGGACTGAAAAACCAGATAAATATGGTTCTCAAAATGGTTTCTACAGCTAAAACAAAGACTTTCTAAGTGGGGGCCTGGAACCCTTGCTCAGGAGTAAAGTACATGAACTGTGTTAAACTGATTACAGTTGAAAGTTCAGAGGACTCTATGCACCTGTCTATGGGACAGATGGCGGACGCAACCTCCTCGTAAGTGAGGTGCTTTCAAGTCGGCACATCTTTATTTATAATAATGCTGTAAGAGGCAGAATGTGTGAGCTTTTACACAAATGGCAAGCAAGTTACACAATGCCTTCTCTCCATCTTTCTCCTTCTGCCCACCAGAACATGCTGGGGCCCGACTGGTATGGCTCAGAGGGCAGAGTGTTATCCCATGAACCAGAAGGTCTTGGGTTTGATTCCCAGTCAGGGCATGTACCTGGGTTGCAGGTTTGATCCCCGGCCCCGGTCGGGGTGCATACAGGATGCAACCAATCAGTGTTTCTCTCTCACATCAATGTTTCTCTCTTTCCCTGCCTTTCACTCTTTCTGAAATCAATGGGGAAAGAAATATCCTCAAGTGAGGATCTAAAAAAAAACATGCTGGAATCTCTTGAACTCTAAACATTCTTCAACAAAATTTTTAAAAAATAATTTAATGTTCTATCACTAAATGGATTGTCATAACTGGAGGGATTGTTGAATAATGAACCAGTCAAAGAATTCAACAAAAATAAAAGCTTAGAAACATGACTATAAAATGGTTAATTAGCTTTTTACATAAATAGAAACTGGCTACAATACTAATTTCTACATTTGAAGTCTTAAATCACACGCACATTTACAAGACTACTGAATATATATATAAGCACACCTAGTAACCAATCCTTGTCTACTTGCTCAAAATATATTAACTATCTGATATCTTAAATTAGAAGCAAGTCTTCATATTTGTATTCCTAAATACTAAATGGTATGCATTTGTTTCATAATTATAATGAATTTGTACATGAAAACTACTTACCACTAAAACTTTCAAAATTAGATGATTCTGGTAGGCAGATTCCAATCTATGATTCTCTGAAACATTAAAAGGAGAGGTCACTTCTCTCAGATGGGAAAGCAGCAGAGAGCACTGTGGCGAGGTGAGTGAGACCTGGCTGCAGGCAGGATGCCCAACAACAGAGCCTCAGTCAGGAAGTGTGCAAGGCTGTCAATCATGCCTACTACGTACCACCAAGAGCATCAGACAAGGAAGAAACTAAGGTTAGGACGCATTTTTCGGGGTACTACAGTATCATTGTAGTCTGAAATTATTTTTAAAATCTTACTTCTACAAAGATATGTGGGATGTGTTGGCAAATGATCCCATGGATAGCCACCCAGAAAAAGAACCTGAGTAAGGGGTGATGGTAAAACTGACAGCAACCCTTAAAGTGTAGGGCACCAATGAAAGTTTTCTAAACAGGTGGCTTGAAAGGCTTAACTTAAAGGGGAACTCAAATTTCCATCCTCTGCTAGGAAGAGGAGACACTGTGCCAGTCTCAGAACAGCAGGACAACAGAACAAAAGGAAGATTCTGCTGAGAAGTGTCATCGTGCACAGAGAGGCAGTGTTAGGCTGACCTGGATTTGAAACCCAGCTCAGCTACTCAGCCACTGTCTGACCTGCACAAGGCACTGAACCTCCTGACACTCAGCCTCCTCGCCTACAAAACTGGGCTGACTCCACCCTCTTCCCAGGGTCACTGTAAGCATCAGCAAAGAAAAGCACTCACTAAATGGTAGTTGTTAAATGGATAATAAAAATAATTTAAGATATCTTTGTGGTTAAGGCCTAGACTTCTTCCTAGGGAATAATAACACATTTGCTTGTTTGAATGAATAAGTAAATGAAAGACAGAATGACCTATCCAGGCGGCCGTGACCAGAGGCGCATACACGGACACCCATCTCCGCTGAGCACAATGGAGTCCTCAGTGCCCGGCACGACTGGACACCTGGTTTTCAGATACTTAGACACATTTCATTCAGCCAGAGTTTCAGGAAAAGAATCCAATCTACTTCACCTTTAGCATAAAACACAGCGCTATAGTATGAGGAGCACAGGTTAACCTGCGAGGTGTGGATTAGCCTGGCTGTACCATTTGCTGTCTGAACCTTGTGAAATCTCAGTATCTTTATCCATAAGATGGTGAAATGTGTCTGTTTCACAGTGTCCGGAGAAGGTGAAAATGAGCCATGCGGGTCGAGTGCTCAGCAGGGAACCCAGAACACAGTGAGCGACCGTGAGCGAGAGCCGTGATCACGATGATCGGGAGAGCACTGGGGCTCTTGGAGCCGTGAACTGCTCCTTGGGACTCTAAAGGGGGCCGGAGCAGCACCCATCTGCTGGGCGAGGTAGCAGTCCCGTGAACCCTGTGGTGCAAGCAGTATTCCTTACAGACACGTGAGATAAAAACAAAGCATCACGTCTTACCCCATGAAGTTAGAAACTCAGCAGCATATCGATAGAGGCGGTTCATGATCTCAATCACAATGGCATAGATGATGCTGGGCACATACAACAGGAGACTGGTCCACTCGGACCCGCTGTCCTCGTGGAGTCCCAAGGCCCAGGCCTCCATGTCGAAGTAAATCATCATGACATACAGAGAGAAATAGAGACAGAGGCACACAAACGGCAGAGAGACCAGGTAAATGCGCAGCTGTCTCTTGTAGCTGGGGTAGAGCGGTTCCTCCCGGCCCGTGACAGAATTGATGCCCAGGACCCCGTGAAATCCCGGCCGGGGCTCCTCAAACTGTCTCTTCATGACCAGGGTTCCCCACCTGTAGGTCATGTTGGCACAGCCGCGCTTCCATACTTCCAGGATCACTGTGGACCAGATCAGGTTGAAGGAGGCGAAGATCACGTACTTGTCATAGTCTTCCCACACAAACAAGTAGTACGGTAACCCGATGACCGCCATGGGGATTAAGGCAAAAGTAAAATACTCCAAAAAGCCAAAATAAAGAGCGATTGTTTCCCCAAAGTAGCCACGAATATTGTCTATAATAAAAGAAAAAGAAAAAGACCTGAAATATAAACTGCCAAAGACTTTCTTTTCTTAAGCTTATTCATTTCTTTAGTTAAGTGGGGATCACGTAATACCATGATTTCCCAGTCAGTGTGTGATGGTAAACCCATCCCCCACGCAGTACAAAGACTCCACTTATCTGTACTGCGTGCCTGACACTTCCCCCAGCTGAGGGCCCAGGCTCTGCCAGGCACCCCGGGTCTACTTCCGCATCTGGTGCAGACCTTCTTCCCATAGAAAAAAGTCACCAAGGGGTTAGTCCCAAATCTCCAAGGTTCTCAATTTAAATTCAGTCATGGCCAATAAAACTTTTAATTGGGGTTTAATTTATGCTCCCCACTTTTCTACTTTAATACTGTAGTCACAGATGTTCTTTTCAAAGAAGACTCCCCATCTATAGTATCCTGCTCCCCCTACCTGAAGATATAAAGTTTCATCAATATGTCATGGCAAATTTTTCAATACACTGAAGAAAAGTTATTCAAAAGCACCAAACAATATTCTACACTCTGACTTCTCAAACAGACACAAAACATATTTATTTGTACCTTAAAACAAGAAGGGCCAAGCAACATTGCTGTTAATATTCTGTGAACTGGACACAAGTTACCTGATCCAAAAGAGGTCACAAACATTGCGTCCTTTGTCAGCCACACCCACGGGTCCTTTGTCAGCCACACCCACATAGGTGAGTGTCTGGATTGTAAAAGTACCCTGACCTGGGACCAGGGTGGGATGCTGAGGGTGGGGGAGGTGCAGCAGTTGAAGTTATTATTTCTTGGTTAGTTACACATAGCTAAAATGTAATTTTTTAAAGGTAACGTGTCAGACCAGTCTATAGTTATAGGTTAGAATAAACCAAGATAAGCTATTTTCTCCTATCCCTATTTTTTTTCAAGCTAACCCAGGAGCTAGATACTATGATGGGTTACCTCAAATCTGAATCAGGTTAAAGACTATCTAAACAATGTAAAAACACAAAACAAAAGGTGCTCATGGTCCTGGGCTCCAAGTCGAATGATAGCCCTCATTGTTTTTTCTTTACTGATTTTTAGAGAGAGAGAAAGGGAGAGGGAGAGAAAGATAGAAACATCGATGAGAGAGAACATCGATTGGCCGCTTCCTGCAACCTGGGCATGTGCCCTGACCAGGAATGGAACTGGCGACCTTCTGGTGCATGGGTCGATGCTCAACCACTGAGCCACACTGGCTGGGCAAGATAGCCCTCTTTTGATCTCAAGGGGAAGTTCAAAGTCTGCGACCACCAGTCCCAGCACCCCGGAAGCCTCAGCCCCACTACCACAACCATGCTCAGCCTTCACCGTCAGCTCACTTTCTCCCCTACTTTCTAAAAGGTAGCTAATGGATACTTCACTGACAAGTCCTAGAGGCAATACTTACATTTGCTGCCACCTAAATGCCAAAGTAAAAAAAATGTCCTACGTGTACCATGACTATTGTCACCTGGAACTATCAAAATCACAACTCTTGCCCTGGCCGGTTTGGCTCAGCGGTTAGAGCGTCGGCCTGCGGTCCTGAGAGACCCGGGTTCGGTTCCCGCTAAGGGCACGTACTTCGGTTGCAGTTTGTCCCCGGCCCTGGTTGGTCGTGCGGGTGGCAGCCACTCGATGTGTCCCTTCACGTCGATGTTTCTCTCTCTCTCTCCCTTCCTCTCTCTCCCTCCCACTCTATCTGTACAAAAAATGGAAAAATGTCCTCGGGTGAGGATAAAAAAAAAAAAAAAAAAAAAAAAAAAAAAATCACAACTCTTCATTTCAAAGACTATAAGAAAAAATTCAGAATATAATTTCAAATTTTAATCTTAAAGACCATTTTTGTTCAGTTACAATATTGTAATAGTTGTTTTCAGAATGGAAATTGGAAAGAGAGTCATTTTAGAGGGATTCCCCTACACAAAACCAAAAGACAAATGTCTATTAAGGAAAAACTGATAGTAATACTTGTGGTGAAATCTACTAGCTTAAATATAATTCTATGCTTAAAAAACACAACCCCCAAATTTGGATATCTGTATTGATGCAAGTTTATACACATACCAAATAAACTCGTGGTTATCTTTCTCACTGTACTCAGAGAAAATGGACAGACAGCAGCAGTACAAACCAAGACACTTGGAAGCCACCTGAAAAGATGGTCAGGCCTGCTGGTCTCCCCTAACATGAGCACAACTTGACTCACTCCAAGTGATTACCTCTAAGGAAAGAGAAATTTTCAAATACAAAATATTCACAGTCAAACTAAATTCTTATAAAATCTGTTCTACTCCAACTCTGACATGTACTTATTAAGGACACTCTGAACTGCCTGTGCTGTTGGTCAATTTTAGTGAAAGCCTGTAATTCAGTCCATCTACAATCGCATTAGAAGTAGACAAACAGGTCATGTAACCCATCTTACTCCCCCGCCCCCATGTTTTTCCCAGGCAGCTGGTGAGCCCTGCCTGGCGGAGCATTAGCTGTCTGCCCAAGGGAGATGGCACCACTGCCAAAGCGTGACTTTTCCTTGGTAGGTCTTCCTCTTGTCTACGGGAACAGGTGTTGACACATACCTATGGGCTGATACTTTAAACTAAGCCGAGTATACCAGTTGTCCTCAAGCTTCTTCAGGGCTTCATTATCATGCAGTGGAAACACCTGGATCACAATGCCAGACGTGAGCAGTCTTCTCACTGCAGGGAAATGTGCCAAAAACATAAAAGAAATCTGTGATTGCTCATGATACTCCTCCTCAGCTGCTACAAAGCCACTCCAGCTAGGAAGGAGCATGACACGAAGACCACACTTACACCTCCTCCAGAGGTGTATACTTCTTTGTTCTTCATAATGTCAATATCCTTACTATTTTCTTTGACTATGAAAGCAATACAAGTCAATGTAAAATTTTAAACTACACAGAACTGTACAAATTAAAATTTGAGAGGCCCCAGTTATTCTCTCCCTCTCCCCCAAAATAACCACTGTAAATAGCAATGTAGTGTATAACCATTTCAAAATATACACCCATAAGCATATGTAATATGTTTTTTATTGATTTTTAGAGAGAGAGGAAGGGAGAGAGATAGGAACATCAATGAAAGAGAGAGAAGCATCAACATCAATTGGTTGCCTCCTGCATGCCCCCTACCAGGGATTGAGCCCAAGACCCAGGCATGTGTCCTGACCAGGAATGAAACCAGCGACCTCTTGGTACATAGGTCAATGCTGAACCACTGAGCTACACCAGCTGGGCTGCATATTTTAATGGGATTATTCCATATACATTGTTCTGTAATCTTTTCTCATGTAGTAAAATATAATGTATCTGTCAGTGCCAATATAAATAGAACATGAAATGTCCCTTGTAACAGTGTCATAATATTCCCTTTTATGAAATGCTACAATTTAATTCTCTATTGAAAAATATTTGTTTCCATTTTTTGCTATTATAAATAATGTTAAAACTCTTGTACATACACCTTTTCCCACCTGTCTACTATTGCCTTATGTATATACTTAAAAGTAGAATTGTTAGATTTAAGGGCATATGTATTTAGATTTGGACACATATTATAAAGCTGTCCCTAGAGAAATTTTACCAATCTATCCTCCTACTACAGTGAAAGCAGGAGAATGGTTTCCTTCCTTTCATTCTTGATACTGATGATACTCAATCATTTTCATCTTTTCTAATCTGACAGCATTCAAAAAGCAGCAAATGTCAAAATCAAATCAAATCGACTTCCTACTTTCAGCAGTCATTTGGCCAGTTTGAGTTTATTTATTTATTTATTTATTTATTTTTTATTTATTTATTTTTAAAATGGTTTTTAACACAGATTATAATTAATGAAAATTCTACTAACTATATAGTGATTTTAATATTCATGCACATATCTAATTTAGCCGAAGACACTAGCCCTTAGTAACAACAAATGAAAATGGGGCACTCCCCCGCCACAATTACTCAGAGTGACTCTCTGGGCTAGTCCGTGAGAGGAGGTGTGTTTCGGGGACACAGAGAGCTCGAGTGCAAGGACTTGTGCCCTATTTGAGCAGGTGAGCACTTTCCACACAAGTTCCCAGCATTGCCTCCTACTAAAGATTACGGCTGCTGCCCTGGCCGGTTTGGCTCAGCGGTTGGAGCGTCGGCCTGCGGTCCTGAGAGACCCGGGTTCGGTTCCCGCTAAGGGCACGTACCTCGGTTGCAGTTTGTCCCCGGCCCTGGTCGGTTGTGCGGGTGGCAGCCACTCGATGTGTTCCTTTCGCATCGATGTTTCTCTCTCTCTCTCTCTCTGTTCCTCTCTCTCCCTCCCACTCTACCTGAACAAAAAATGGAAAAAAAATGTCCTCGGGTGAGGATAAAAAAAAAAAAAAAAAAAAAAAGATTACGGCTGCTCATAAAATGGACTTAGCATCAAGAAAGGATGCTTTGCTGTTTTCATCCACTGACAAGCTCTGAGCTCTTTAAGGTTGATCAGCTCAACTCTGATCTCCCACCTACCCAGTCACAAGATAGGTGACGGCAAATAAATGTCTGCAACATGGGGTAAAAAATCACAAATTAAGTTTTCAGTGTAGAAATACTGCACAGTAGAACAAAGAGAGGTAGTGTATTTTCAGGACAAATGTTCTATAGTAAAATCCTCAGATTAATTTTAAAGTAAACCTAAATTCTTAGAAATAAAGAAAAGGATAATAATAAAAAGGAGATATCTGATACTAAAAAGTCTGAGTCAAAAAGAAATCTTAATATATGATTTTTCTTACAATACAGAAGAAATGTTTTTATAAACTAGGGTTTGAGCCCGGCCGGTGTGGCTCAGTGGTTGAGTGTCGACCCACGCACTGAAAGATCACTAGTTTGGTTCCCAGTCAGGGCACATGCTCAGGTTGTGGGCCAAATCCCTGGTGGGGGGCATGCAGGAGGGGGCCAATCAATGTTCTCTCTCATCCATGTTTTTATCTCTCTCTCCCCCTCTCTCTCTAAAAATCAATAAAGAAAAAAATTTTTTTTAAAAAGCCAGGGTTTGATGAAATCCTCTTTAATGCTTGAAAAAGGTGTATGTTTAAATTAAATCAATCTCTGGTGCTACCAAATCCACTTTTAAATATTTTTATTCTACAATGTTTCCGTAGATTTTTTCTTATTAACAGGAATAAAAGTCGATCACCCACAACTGTTCCGATTCTTCTCTGGTACTTGGGGACGCACAGCGACAGCTTATTCTTTCTTCCTATTATTATCCTTTTCTATTACTACATCAAGTTTTCTTAACTTCGAACTGATTTATAGCATCTAAATTATAATTTTACTATTTCTAAGTTCTTTTTTTTTTTTTAAATTACTCCATTCTACAGTAGAAGACTTTCCAAGCAAGCATAAAACCAGCTTGAACACTTCTAAAAATAGGACTGTGAAGAGAATATAAACCCACAGGTCCTAAATTACTGGGCTTCTCTTCACCATCAATGCCAAAAGCATGGTTCTGGTTTCAGGTTCTAAAAATAGAGGTTTTTTTTTTAATCCTTCAATCTTCTGACATCAGCTAAGAATGTAATTAACATGAGCCTTACCTTCAAAGGAAAATATGATGCTCTTCAGGCCTATTTAAAGAAAGGAACAATTTAAACCAAGATTCCTTCCTTCAGGAGCTGAAAGGGTTCCTTGTCAAGTACAGGGTTATTTCTGTTGCAACCATTTAACCATTAGCTAAACAAACGAAATCTAAATGAAGGTGGACCTGGCTCTTAGCTGAACCCTGGGAGTTAAGTAAAGCAGTAGCAATCCTAACACAGCACTGTTTCTGCCTTTGGCTAATGTGGTGTTTACGTCAAAAGTGAAAACAAGCCCTGGCTGGTTTGGATCAGCGGCTGGAGCATCAGCCCACGGACCAGAGAGACCCAGGTTTGGTTCCCACTAAGGGCATGTATCTCTGTTGCAGTTTGTCCCCGGCCCTGGTTGGGGTCGTGTGGGTGGCAGCCAGTCAATGTTTCTCTCTCTCTCTTCTTCCCTCTCTTCCTCCGGCTCTATCTGAAGATGAATGCAAAAATGTCCTCAGGTGAGAATAAAAAAAAGTAAAAACAAAAATCTCTCTCACAAACTCCTTCCAGTATCTCTGTGCAACAGGTAGGACAGGTCATGCTCCCTCGAATCAGCCCCCAACAAAGGGGTGATGAGCACACAGAGCACCCACCGGGAGAGAAAGCCGCAGCAGCCTTCATACAGGAAGATGGGGCCCCTGCACCCCCTGCAGCTGCTGCTGTCCCCTGCACCCCTCCCAGGCCCCACCCAACTCTAGCATTCTGGTGCAGACCACTTTTTAAAAATAGTTTTATTGATTTTTAGAGAAAGAGGAAGGGGAGAGAAAGAATTAAGAGATTTAACAGTCAAACAAGATGGGTGATCTATGATTGGATCATGCTTTAACAAACCAGCCCTAAAATATATTTGGGGACAAACAGGAAATTTTAAATATGGCCTCATTCCTGGGCATCTGTCCTCCTGGGTGAAGACTGGAAGGTAGTATTAAAGGTATTAGTACTTTAATAATACTTTCGTAATAATAAAACGTATTGCCCTGGGGGGTTTGGCTCAGCAGTGGGAGCATTGGCCTGCAGACCAATGAATCATGGGTTCAATTCCAGTCAAGAGCATGTACCTCGGTTGTGGTTCATCTCTGGCCCTGGTCAGGGTCAGGCGGAGGCAACTAGTTGATGTGTCTCCTTCTCTCCCACTCTATCTGAACAAAAATGGGAAAACATCCTCAGGTGAGGATTAAAATAAGAATAATAATAAACAAATTAAAGTATATATAGTATTAAACTGACTATTACAAGGAAACCAGCCCTGGCTGGTTTGGCTCATTGGTTAGAGCATCAGCTCTCATACTGAAGGGTCACAGGTTTGATTACCAGTCAAGTGCACATACCTAGGTTGCAGGTTCAATCCCTGGCCCCAGTCAGGGTCATGTGGGAGGCAACCAATTGATGGGTCTCTCTCACATCACATCAATGTTTCTCTCTCTCTCTTCCTCCCTCCCTTCCAATTTCTCTGAAAAACAATTGAAAAATATCCTCTGGTGAGGATTAACCAAAAAAATAAAAAATAAAAAATAAACCAGACTAGACACAGAAGCTCACATGTTTAAAGTGTATTTTAGGCAGCAAAAATGCTCTGAGCACATGCCACTATCTGGGTTTGAGGCAAACCAGGAATTACACATTGCAGTAAACACTTCCATTCTGCAAAGCAGCATTCTCATTCAAATGGAGTTACATAAAATCAAGTTTCATTCAGGTCTTGTCACCTCGTCACTCTTCCTAAGCCTTTCTATGTCTGCAGGTATTCATGCCCAGTGAGAGGAGAGAGGCGAGGAGAGTACCCTAGGAAAAGACCAGGTCTCCCATTCTTATTCCTCCACAGATTTTCATTATAGCATAATGTTTGGGCACAAAGGAACTTGGCTAATTTTAACTAAGGAGCATGTACATGTGCTCACACTGAGCTTTACACTAACTGAATGCTGTGAGAGACATTGAGAATAAGTAGCAAACCACTAGAACAAATATAGTGACCTAAAACACGCAACATAGTGACGCTCTAAAGGCAAAAGATATGTTCGTGAAAAAATAAGTTATTGTAAAGCTGTGTGAGTTTCTTGGTAAGAGGAAACAATAAAGCCCCAGTAATGTGTTATTTATGTCTAAGAAAAATTAACTGCATTAGAATGTGTATTCATGAAGCTGGTTGACGTAATGACTTACATAATGACTTTCCTGGATACAACTTTGCCTGGGGGTAACCAGGGATCATTTTTTCATCTCTGGCTCTAAGATTCTCAAGTTCATGTTTGATAATGAATTGACATTCTGCCATTGTGAGAAAATCATCATTGTTATCTAAAATAAAACAAAAAGTTCCAGTTATTCTCTAAATAATAGCCGAAATAAAGTTAATAATATTCAAATAACCTGGGGTTATGAAAGTGATATAAACAATAAATAATTAACATAAGGAGTTAGCAAAGTATAAAACTAGTAAATTTAATATAAAGCTCCTTAGATATTTTATAAGAATAAAAATATTGTTATGCCTTCATATAATACAATTCTTCAATTACTGTACTATTATATAATATGGTACAAATATTCAAATGGCAGACACTTGCTTGATCACATTAATACCAATGAGCAGAAGGCAGTATGTTCTTTATGCTGACAAACTTGTAACTAGGGGTGGGGCTGACGTTGGCCTATGTGGAAATTCTCCTTCACACTCTCAAGTCCAGGCCATTCCCTTCTGGAGCTGAAAAACCCCTCCCATAAACAAGGGAGAACAAAGTCTGATAAGAAAATAGTATTTTTGACAGGTGAATCCTCTTAAATAAGGTGAATTTCACCTTGGTCATTTATTCACCAAGTTTTTTCTTAAATCCAAAATTTCACTTTGACCATTTAAATCCAGAGTGAGGCGGAAGAAGTCTAATCACATCTTCGAACTCTGAATGTCCTGGAAGGGACCGCTAGTTATAAACAAATCAAATATAAACTTCCATTCTGATATCATGGCCACCCTGGCTTTGTCAGCTCTTTCTAGAAACCGTTCTCTTTGACACACTGACCCTGACAGACACCACCCTGGGACTCACCATCGAAGCCTTTGAAGTTGTGCCGGGTCCCATACGTGAAGGCTCTCATGGTGTTATCAGTGCACTCCTTTACCAAGCCCACTGCTTCCGCCCCCAGTAACAATCTGATATTGGAGGCACCAACGAGATACAAGTTCTGATTTTCCACTGTTTCTTTCTCATACTTATTTAACAACGGTCTAAACAACAGCTGGGCACCTTCGAAAACAAAAGGTAAGCACAATCTTAGAGACAAACATTTATGTTTCAAACATGAAAACCTTCTCAATAAATATTATGTTTCTAATTTGGTAGAAAAAAAATAAATTATATTAACAATGTAAATCCCTCTTCCAAATAAATAAAAACTGTAAGTTGGGAATGGCAGGTTCTTTATAGCTTTTTGAAATAAAAGTCAAAACGGGAAAGTGCAATAAGTAGCTTGCCAGTTACTCAAATTAGAAGTAGATATGAGACAAGAATTCAATATTTATTAGCTCTAGGTACAAATTTGCACTAACTATACAGGATAAGGATATAGGTTCTAATATATATATAAAAAAAAAAAACAGGCCAAAATTTAAGAAAATTAATTTGAAATAAAATATCCCAGAAAAAATGCACAAATGTAACACAATTACATTGGACTGTAACAGATTGTGTGAATGTTAAATACTAAAGAGCAATGTAATTTTCAGTTATTTTTCCCATAAATGTCTACATTCAGTTAGGCTTAATGATAGTTTTCTTAAACAGGTTTCCAAACGTTAAGAGTAAATGTTAAGATTTGATCTTGTAGATGTAATTATTACTTAAACAATTATGGTAAAAATAATTTTTCCTCATTTTTTTTCTACCTACATCAAACTTTTTAAGGTACTTCTTTACTATTTACCATCTAGAGAGGATTAACAGGAATTACGAAAATACTAATCAGATGGTAACAGGATAATGAGCAGAATTTATGTTTCACCTACCAAATGGATTAATATATTGATTAATGTATTATTTAGGTAATTTATAACAGATGAATCAAAGACTTTAATAAAAAATCAGTAAGAGATACATTCAATTTATAGAAAATATAAATGGCTCATGAATATAAAATCCTTAACCTCATCATGTTTGAATAAATGCAAAAATGACACCAATATGCTATTTTGCCCTTTTCACACTGCAAAGATCAAAAGTTTAATAGCACAAACAAGATATAGGTTGGTGAGTATAGCAGCCACAGAAATGCCCCACTCCGCCCGGCTCTCCCTCCCAGAGAAGCTGCCCAGGAGCAGGGTTGACTGACAGCCTCCTGCTGCCCTCTTTGGAGGAAGCACCTCACACTTAGATGCTCCCCGGTTGCACCCAGCCATTGGTGAGCATGCAGGCAGGGACACTGGAATGAAGCAATCCCAGTGAAGGACAAGGTTGGGCCTGGCTGACACTTTCTCAGAACTGGTTTGTAGTCTGGGGCTCTTCCGGTTCAAGCCCCCTTCCTTCCCTCTCACCTTTCTCAAGTGTGAGACCAGCACCAAAGGCTGAAGGCTCTCTACGCCTAGTCCTGCTCCCTCCCCACTTTTTCAATCACTGTTTCTCTCAATAAACCTCTTGTGTATTAAATCCCATGTTATGGTCTCTTGCTTGGAAGACCTAAGCTGACATGAAGGGTATGTGGGGACAGGCACTCTTGGACACTTGCAGGAGAGCATACCTCCATAGAGAACCATTTGGCAATATCTGTTTTTGAGAATGGGCAGTCCTCATTTCCCTCTCCCCAATTTACTTCCCCAGGGAGGGCAAACTGTTCAGGTGATCCCTATTATTTGTTCATGTCACCAAACAACATGCTTATAGAGCTATTTTTTTAAAAAAAAGATGTATTCATTGATTTTTTTTTAGAGAGAGAGGGGGGAAGGGAGAGATAGAAATATGAGAAACAGGATCGGCTGCCTCCTGCACGCCCCCTACTGGGGATCTGGCCAGCAACCTGGGCATGTGCCCTGACCTGGAATCAAACCATGACCTTTCAGTCCATGGGATGATGCTCAATCCACTGAGCCACACTGGCCGGGCTAGAGCTATTTATTCTTGTTTTAGGCCTTGGCAGCCAAGGATTTAGCTCTCTTTTCTCCCCCTTCCCCACCCACCTTCACCTTTTCCACCCACCACTCCCATCACTCCATTCTCACGATACAATTACATCATCCTTTTCATCTCATCAGTAGTATTTTCATTATTACAGTTTTCCTTATTATGGTTTTCCTTTCCTACAACTTTCCATTTCCCTCAAAATTAACTGTCTTGTTTTATCATTTGCTTAGTTTAGTGCCAATAATTCATCCCCCAAAGGCTCTGCCAATTGTGTCTCCCCCTACACACTGATGTGATACCTTATCAACACCGTCTTCTTAGAGGCTCTCTTCACTCCACCCTCACACCTTTGTTGGCAGCTGGGTGGGTTCAGAATTCTAGATTGCAACCATTTTCCTTCAGAAATTAAATTACGCCACTTCCTTCTAGCTTCTAAAGTTTCTGTTAAGAAGTCTGATCCTTTATATCAGACCTATTTTCTTTTTTCTGGAAGTTTGTAGTATCTTCTTCGTCCCCTGGGTTCCAAAACTTTCCAAGGATACGCCGTTTTCATCCACAGCGCTGGGCACTGGGTGAGCCCTTCAGTGTGGCACAGCATGGCATCAGCCTTGAGCTTTTCTTTGATAATTTCTTCCTCTCCTTTGCCTGTTCCCTTTCTAGATCTTCTTTTATTCAGATGTGTACCTCCTGGACGAGTCCTCTCATTTCCTTATATTTTTCTCGTGTTTTTTCTAATTCTTTACCTTTTTGGGCTACTTTCTGGGATGTTTTGTCAAAACTATCTTCTAACTCCTCTACTGAGTTTTTTTATTTTGTTTATTTATTTATTTAGCTTTCTTATTTTCAGTTGTAAGAGCTGCTTTTTTTCCCTAAATGATTATTTTATAATAACCTACTCTTGATTTTTAGATGATCTAGCTTCTCATGCTCTGAGAATTGAGATTTAAATTCTTTTGGTTTTCTTCTTCTACATAGTTTGCTGGGATTTTTCTGCTTAGTTTTACCTTTCTCTTTCATGCAGAGATTTTCCTCAGGCGACTGGTGACCTGTGGTATGCTCGGATTTAAGGAAGGGGTGCTAAGAGGCTAAGCAAGTTCTGAAGGTGTAGACGGAGCTCATCAAAGATGGCTTCTGATGCAAGGCAGTCTGGCCAGGTCATTTTTCACAGGCAAATGCTCCTTCAGTTATTATGTTTTGAGTTGAACAGATTCACCGAAGACAGATTATTCAATCTTTCCTAGATGGTTTGAATCTAGCTGCTAACATTTTGGAAATTAAATTAGGTAAAAGATTCATGGGGTGGAGGAGAGGGGTAGCAATATTCAGTTGCTACCCTATTTGCAGTTATAGAATCTCTGTTTTCAACTTTGCACTGAGCTCCCTGCCAAAAATCCATGCCTCTGACCCCCTCCAGAGAAGAGTAAGCAGAGTCTTCTCCTGGGTGGTACAATATGGAAGGGGTAGATCTCGGCCCATTCTTTTCCCCCTCTTGATCCACTTTTATTTCCAACTCCACAGGCCCTTGGTGTTCCTGCTAAAGCTACACAATGAGCAGAGAGAGACTGGGAACACCCTGGAGCTTCGCACTCTGAGATGCTCCAGATGCTCTCACGTCGCAGGGCTCTTAGAGAAGTGACTCCAGTCCAGTGACACGCGGCCGATTTCAGCAAGCGGGTGCTCTTGTTTTCAAGTTTATTTTTGGTTCAATTATGTGAAAAAAACAAAGTTAAAATTCAACTTTGATTGAAAATTTTATATTTTAAAAAGCAGTTTCCGTTTATGGTCAAAAGTATTTACTTCTGTCCAGTGTCTGGAGATTTGGTGAAGTTTTAGGTGTCGCTTGGTGTAGTTTTAGGAAGGGTCTGCTCATGTAAAATGGCCTCACCCTGACCTATACCCTTTCTCCTTGTCCTTCAGGAGAGAGCTAAACTTTGGCTTCCTCTATAAAGTCATCCCTCACCACCCTGAAAAGCATCACCACGTATCACCTCTTCCCTCTCTTTACTATTATAGCAAGTATAAACTGGATTCGGTCCTAAGTATCACGAACTGCGTTGCAACAGCTCTTTCATTAGCTTTTATCTTCTGTTACATCAATTTGCAAGCATTCAGTCTCCTCACCCTGACAGTAACATCCTTGCAGGCACAGGCTGTATTTATATCTCCATAACTGACACACAAAGAACACTCAGTAAATACTTGTGGATTTGTTTAGCAAATATTTATTAAGCACCTGTAAGGCACCGAGCACCGTGCTAGGCACGGCGTTTACAGCTGCGAACAAAATCACTCCTGTTGCTTACAGACTAACGGAGACTTACAGTCTAATGCTGATTTAAGACCTCCTTTCAAGTCCTGGATAAATAATAAAGACCAAAGAAACAGACATTAATTTTAGAAATATGATGACAAAAATTGTAAAACACACTTGAAAACAGATTTTTAGTCACTGAGCATGGCTAAGTCTGAGTAGTTTTTATTTCACTCACCTCCATCTTTCTTTTTGGTGATAATTCTGTTTTTCAGCCATTCCTTGGTCTCCTCTTTGACATCCTGAGCGAGTTCTATGACGACTAAAGGCGTGAAGCAACTCTCAGACGTATCCAGAGCTGATAAGGTCACTTTCATCTTTGACAAACTTGCTGAAAATTAAAATAAAATAAAGAGCAAACATGGGTTATCATGGAAAAGAGAAAAATGTATAAACTGTATTTGTATTTTCCCTTAGTTACACCTAATTCTGGCTTCCAAGACAAAGCAAAATTTCTCACGATCCAGATGGGTTATATGACAGGCTTAACCGATGGTTCAAGCACACTCCGCAAAGACGAGAACACCGTCCATTTCCGTGAGCAGCTCAGAATACTGCAGGGAAGATATTCAGGTAAGAAAAGGTAACAGTATAAAATGTGCTCTCACACAAGAGGAGTTAGAAAATATTTACAAAGAATGTGCCGCCTGAACAGGAGTTTGCCACACAGACAACGAATAGCATTCTACGTAAACAGTATAACCCTACACAATAATAATGAAAAATAACCAACAGACTCAGAAGTACAAGTGATTAGGTTCGGCTGGAGCATTGTCTATATGAGGGGAGGAATGAAGATGGGAATGAGCTGGTAACTGACTAGGGCCCCTGATCACAAAAGAAGTGGGCTTTGTCCAATAAACACTGGGAGTCACTAATTCATTACGAGCAGGGAACTGACAGAGTCCAATTTCATGTTTCAGTATCCAGCTGATCTCCCAGCATCAGCTTTCTTTCCCACTTCCCCTGCCTTGCTCAAGGATATCACCTTTATCTCTGTTACCAAGCTTGAAAAATGAGAGTCAACTTGGAGACCCACTAATGACATCAGTCACTAAGGCCTAATGGCCTCTCTGTAAAATATTTCTCACATGAATCTCTCTGACCCAGTGATTCTCAGGGCGATTTTCAGACTTCAGACTTATTTATTGTAATTTTGTACTTGGTGTAAGTTTTAATGTCTCCAAAGGACAAGTACAAATCAATTCTTGAGCCCTGGCTGGTTTGGCTCTGCGGTTAGAGCGTCGGCCTGCAGTCCAGAGAGAGCCGGGTTTGGTTCCCACTAAGGGCATGGACCTCGGTTGCAGTTTGTCCCCGGCCCTGGTTGGGTCGTGTGGGTGGCAGCCACTCGATGTGTCCCTTTCACATTGATGTTTCTCTCTCTCTCTCTCCCTCCCACTCTATCTGAACAAAAAATGGAAAAAAAATGTCCTTGAGTGAGGATAAAAAAACAAAACAAAAAACAAATCAATTCTTGGGAACAATCACAAAAAGGAGTGACCAATACCATAGAATGTCTTTCCTTTCTTCGGGGGAAATCTTGCAGGAAGCTGACCAAAGAGACCTAGGTAGTCTGGCTTGGACTTACAAACATTTGTGTTTCTCTAACAGAGCATAAGTTTTGTTTGGGACAACACAGGTATTATAAATCAATGTTGTTTTCAAATTATACTACAAGTATATCAGGAATACTATTAGAGCTATGGAACTCAGAACACTTGATGTGTAAAAGTTTTGGATCAAGCAAAGGGAGAAGCTGTGCTACACGGGGAAATAACATATAAAATCAACGAAGCAAGAATCAGGACGGTGTAAGAGAAGAACGCAACCATTTAAGAGTAATGAATGCTGTAGTTCACATCTGACCCAATGGCCAGCAGGAGTCACTGTAGGTTTCTGAGCAGAGGACTGGCTAGGTGTCAGAGGGACATGATTCCCAATGGGTAAATTTAGGGAACAAGAACATGGGTGGTCTTCATGGTATTCTTTCAACTCCCCTGAACTTCTGGAATTTTTCATTTAAAAAAAGTTGGGAAAAAATGTTTATCTCCCAGTAGACTATGAGATGAGCATTGTCACCTTTTAAATGAAAATATCAAACACAACCAATATTAATCACATGCTTACTGAGAGCTAAGCTGTGCTGGAGCCTGAAGTTAGGTCTACATCTTACTTCTGATGAGCTTCCAGTCTAATAGCAGAAACATGCGTGCATCAAGTCATTCTAACACATGGGCTCAGTACTTAGCAATCACCCGAGGTGGAGGGGCAGCCTGAGGAGGGCACTAACTTTCTGGGGAGGGAAGAAGAGAATCAGATAGCCTTCAACTTCGAAAAATAAATGGATGGCTCCAGGGTTTCTAACCCGGGGCATGGAAAGAATAACTGTGTGTGATCAAATAACAAAGATGAAAAGACTAGTTATATGAAGGGAATAATAAATTGTTCAGCAGCGTACATATGGATGGCATCAAAGGTCAAAGTTTTTCACCAAGTATGCGTTGGCATGTAATAAAAGGCTCACCTTATAATTACCAGGTCATAAAACAAACTTTCTGAGACACTAAAAGCAGGTTTCAATTATAAACATATATATGAGCACTGTTTAGAAATGCATAATAAATTTTTGCTCATTGATTTATTCTCATTTGAGATAATCTGCCTTTCATTCCTCAAGGTATATTTTTTCCATTAAAGCATTTTAATTGTGACTAATGTTCATTCAAATTCCAGACCAAAGAGACAGACAGAGAGAGATCTGATCCATAAGTGCAAGATAGACTTATGAGAATATATATTAAACTGGAAATGCAGCATTTGGCAAATAAATTGAGAATTTAGTCATTAGTTTCTTTCTACAATGTATATATACATATATACATACATATAATATATAAATAACATATACTAAACATACTGATTCAAAAGAATATAATTTGAAAGAATATATGCACCCCTATGTTCGCTGCAGAGGCACAACCTCAACATTTCCAACATATTACAGACAAAAGTGTCACAATATCTGATATACAAAGAGCTCTTACAAATTCAACAACAACAAAAATACGAAAAACGCAAATCACAAGTCACAAAAGAAAAAAACACAAGAGGCCAACACACATTTGAAAAGATTTACTAACTAGTAAAAGAAATGCAGCCCTGCCAGTGTGGCTCAGTGGTTGAGCATGGACCCATGCACCAAGAGGTCGCCAGTTGATGCCCAGGCTGTGGCCTCAATCCCCAGTGGGGGGAATGCAGGAGGCGGCCAATCCATGTTCTGTCTCATCCATGTTTCTCTCTCCCTCTCCCTTCCTCCCTAAAATCAATAAAAGAAAAAAAGTAAATCTTTTTTTTTAATGCAAAAGTAACGAGATACTTTTCCCCTTTTCAGATCTGCTTAAGTTGAAAGATGGAGAGAAACTAGTTCTGGCACAGGTGCAGAAAATCATGCATTTCATAGACTGATGACCGAGGTCATCTGTGCCATCCACTGGGCTTGTAGGAAGAGGACCCCAATTCCATGCACATTTCTCACGTGTCCCAGGCACTGCTCCTGACTTACCATCTATTATTTAAGCTGTATGTTGTGTCCCAGTCAGAAGCCTGGAAACCCAATCACCCCGTTGTGAGAGAGAGCACCACCCCCAAACTCGCTCGGGCCACACCCATTCTGACATTCCCGAACCCTCCCTGCTCCCCAGACTGGCAGGGAAACGTAAATCGTGGGCCTCTGTGAGCCGGCTCTTCCCCAGTCGCCCTTCACTGTGCTTCGCCGACTCCTCCACCCCACTCACGACCACCTTCGCCGAAGTTCTGAGCCTCCCTCCCGCGATCACCCCCGTCCTGAATCCACCCGCCAGATTTCGGCCTCACCACCTTTCCTCCACCCTATTCCTCAACCCTCCACCCCCAGACTCATACCCCTCCCCAAACCTGGGCGGCCCTTCGCTCCCATCAGCGACCGCCACTCCCCACTACACCTGCACTCCTCCCTCTCCCCACCTGGACACCCCAACCTACTTCCCCATTCCCGGGGTTGCCGGCGCGGGGAGGTACCCCGGGAGGAAGGGCGGCGGCTAGGAGGAGTCCCTGGGGGCGTCTCACCGCCTCCCGGCATCCCGGGCTCGGCAACCCGCTCGGATGGGGGTTCTTCCCCGCGGAGAGCGAAAGGGTCCGAGGGCCCCTCCCCCACTCACCGGCCGCGGCGGCGCTTCACGTCTTCGGGGGCGGGCCGAGAGCCGGCGAGACCCGGAGGCCGGGCGAGCGGAGGGACAGCGGGGCGGGCGTGGCGGGGCCCGGACGCGACTACGCCAGGCGGGGGCGGGGCCATGGCGGGAGGGGCGGGGCCTAGCGCCGTGCCGCACCGAGCCGGGGTGGGGCCTAGCGGGTGCCGCTCCAGGCGACGACTGGGCGGGCTCCGGAGAGACGAGAGACCAGCCTGGTTGGCCTGCCGTGCGGCGTGGCAGCGGGCCGGGAAAGGGAGAGGCGTGCCTTCTGGGCTGTCACCCCGAGTGGGGGCGGGCCTACGGCGGGGCGGGCGCGGCCTCGTGGCGCGGTCACTCGAGGGGGCGGGACCACGGGGGGGGCGGGGCCTCGCCAAGCTGTCGCACTCAGACCGGCTAGGACCCAGCAGAGCCGCCGGGAAAGGAATATTCCCCTTCACATTTTCCTCTTTTCCATCTCTTAAGGTCCAGAATCCAAGTAGCTTGTCACTTTCAAATATAAAAACGAGTATCATTGAAGTTGTAACTCGGTTTCAGGTAGTGAAACCCCAAATCCACATTATTGTTGAACCTCACATCCTATAAAGCCAAATTCCTTACAGGACTACAGGATCTCCCAGCTCCGTCGTCCCTTGAGTCCCAGAAAACCTCTTTTACACTCCCCTTTTCTCCACTCCAGCCACATTGGTCTCCCTGCTCTTCCTAGAACTCACCTGCCACCCTGCCACCTCGGGTCTTCGCCCTGGCTAGACCCTAGGCCTAAAAAGCTCTTTGTTAATTGTGGAGATGGTTTTCTTCCTTCCCTTCCTCAAGGGAATCGAATCCCACCTTATTGAGGTCCTGTCTGCCTATCCTATTTAATACCTGCTCCCCTCCCACCCTACCATCTACCTTACCTGCATTCCTATGCCTTATCTCCACCGCACCCATCACCTTCTAACGTTCTATATTATTATGTTTATGGTCAATCTCCCCTAGAATGTAAGATTCATAAGGGCAGGGATTTCTGACAGTTTTGTCCACTGATATATCCCCAGTGCCTAGAAGAGCGTTAGAGCCGCAGTAGTCAAGCAATAGCTCTTTGTGGAATGAAAGGAAAACAATGAATGAGCCTTTTCTCACTTCTTACATCCATCTCAGCCCAGAGGGATGCCTCACAGTGCTGTAATGCGGGAGAAGCCAGGTCTACTCTTCCATGTCCCCACTCATTCTCTGGGTCTTCCAGGTTCAAGACTCAGGAGGGAGAGACCCCAGGGGGGAAGGAACAGAGCTACTTCTTGTTCTTTCTAGACACCTGATAATCTATTGTGGCAGCTCTCAACCTTACTGACCAGTGTTCCTGTGGCTATCTTTTAATAAGTCCTGAATGGGTATGTCCAGAAGTTCTCTCTCTTCTTAAAATTGAGACAAATTGTTTGTGAGTGTCAATAGGTTTAGACATTAATTACTTATTAGGCTTTTGTTGTTGTTGTTGTTTTTGAATGAACATGAAGAGTTTATTCAGTGCATGTTTGGGTATATAACAACAAATACTAAACAACTTTTTTTAACGTTTTTGTGCACAGGACAGAAAACTGCCTGTACATGCTATGTCCACTTTTGGAACACAGATTTGAGCAATTAACTAATGCACAAAATCTTACATATCATGTGACTCTATGCCAAGATTCCAACTTTCTTTCATGCAACAGATATGAAGATCTAAATGGAAACCTAGCCAAGTCTTAAACACTTTTCCAGAAGCAAGTATATGTTGTTTAGGGGTAACCAGTCTTATATTTCTTTGTACACAATATTCATGTGCCAAATACAATGACAAGAGGACTCACACACATACAGATGAGACATTGATTTTAACAACACAAAAGACAACAACACAAGTCTACAATTCCCATCTTTACGTGAGAAGCCACTATACTATTATTGAGGCTGTTGTTTGTTTTTTTCCTCACCCGAGGACATTTTTCCATTTTTTGTTCAGGTGGGGGGGGGAGAGAGAGGAACAGAGAGAGAGAGAGAAACATCGATGTGAAAGGGACACATCGAGTGGCTGCCACCCGCACAACCGACCAGGGCCGGGGACAAACTGCAACCGAGGTACATGCCCTTAGCGGGAACCGAACCCGGGTCTCTCAGGACCGCCGGCCGACGCTCTAACCGCTGAGCCAAACCGGCCAGGGCGAGGCTGTTGTTTTTTAATTGCAGTCTTCCTATCTTCTCATTGCTTGAACTTATGGCCATCCCTCCATATAACTTCATCTTCTGATACTTATATGATCAGGCTTGGAAAAAATAAAATTTGAATGGAAATATAAAAAATACCTTTCAAACACAAAAAAAATCTCATGTCATCTCCACAATTAACAAGTGAAAACTTTGTAATAAGTATGATAAATTGGTTGTTGCATAACACAAATGGCTGACCTGAGTTAATGGCATGGATTCCTATATCAGTTACCTATTGCTGCATGAGAAACCATTATACAGAATTGAGATTCCCTTCTCTTCCTCACTCCTTTGGTGGATTTCCTTAATACTCTCTGGCTCCGAGGACCTTCTTTTTCCAGTTCTAATGGCCAGAGAGAGGGCTCTCTTGGAGTTTCCTATGCTCGCTATCTGTTGTGCAACTCTGTGCAAGTGGGCCTGTGTTGGGGGAATGTTGAGGTTTTGAAGAGAGAGGAAAAAAATAACACGGATTCTCCCCATACTCTTTGCATAGCAAGGGTTCCTTTTCTCGTTTCCTCTGTCCAGAGGGACAAGTTTTCTTTCAGGGTCTTATTATGCATGTCACTGTACTACAGCAGTGCAACTCTATGACTGGAACTGGCCTCGGGACAGCGGAGGGAGGAAGAAAAAATAACGAGTTTCCACCACCTGCTCCAGCTTGCAGCAGCCTTTTCTCCTATTTTGTCTAGAGGTTTTGGTAGTAACCAGTGGGGGACACAGGCTGCACTGGACTTACTCCATTTGGGTCAGTACTGGAATTTGTCAATCTGATAAATGAAAAAAAAAAAAAAGTTTAACTTGCATGTCTGTTATTACAAGTGATAAAGAAACATTTGTATTTTGTTTTCTGTGAATTATCTATTTACTATATATTTCATCCAATTTTCTGCTAGATATTGAAACTCTCAATGTAATAAAAAAAATACAGTCATGTCTCAGTATCTTTGGGGGATTGGTTCCAGGACCCCTATGGATACCAAAATCTGTGGATTCTCAAGTCCCTTATATATACAATGGTGTAGTCTTTTTATGTAACCTATATTTGCATAAAGGCTACAACAGTGTAGGCCTCCATCACTTCATTTGTGTGGATTCAGTGTAGTACTCAGCACGTGGCAACTTCAAAATTTGCTTTTAGGAACTTTCTGGGATTTTATTACTATTTTAAAAAATATTTTCTGTCTGCCCTTGATTGAGTCTGTGATGTGAAACCCATGAACACAGAAGGCTGACTGTAGTCCTTTCCTTCGACATGAATGTCAAAACTTTTCTCAGTGTCATGTCTTTTGACTTCTTGTGTTACTTTACAAATTTTTTAAAATTGATTTTTAGAGGGAGAGGAAAGGAGAGAGAGAGAGAGAAAAATCGATGAGAGAGAACATCGATTGCATGCCCCCCGCTGGGGACTGGGGCCACAGCTGGGCATGTGCCCTGACAGGGAATTGAACCAGCGACCTCTTGGTGCATGGGTCACCACTCAACCACTGAGTCACAACGGCCAGACACCCTGACAGTTCTTAAATCTCTCATTCCCATCATAACTAGTGGCTTCAGCCAAGGGTTCATTGCAGGTGACTGCAGGTGACCATTTATGTAACTTTTTTTCACCACCTTGCTGCAAGAAAACCACAGCCTTCTTTTCCAGTGGGAGGGCCAGGAGCCACAGGACGATGATTTACTAACTTCCACTGACCTTATTCAAGTGAGGGCATCTAACTGGAGAGTTGATGTTACTTTTAGGCTTCCAACCCCTAGAGCTAGCCCATCTTCATCTAAATCTTGCCCATTTCTTATCAAGTTTATTCCTAGATAGTTTACCTTTCTCATTATCAGTGTAAATTAGACCTTTCTTCCATTATTGCTTCTGTTTGCCTGTTATATGAACATGAATTTCTGCATATTAATTTTACATGCTGAATATATCTTTTACAGTTTATAGTGGTTTATTTCCTTAGGATTTCTAAGTTACATAAGTCACAAAATCTAAAAATAATTATAATTTCCCCTCCTTTCTAGTTGTGTTTCTTACATGAAGGAAATACTTCTGATGCTTACTCAGCAAGTAGGAAGGTTGATGTTGGGTTTGAAGTAAATATATTTTACATTAAGTAAGAATCCATGAATTCTTATTTTACATTGAAAGTTTTTTTACTTATCAAGGATGAATGCTGAATTTTGTTACATGCCTTGCCATCATCACCTATGGAGATATTCATGTGATTTTTTTTCTTAGTGATAGTATTTGTGTTAATAGGTTTCCTTATTTAGCTTTTATTCTAAAAGAAATGGAGAGCCATTGAGGTATTCCAAGCACACGAGTGACATTATCTAATTCTCACCTTAACGGATCACTCAGACTCCAATGTTGAGAATACACAGCAGAGGCAGAGGTTGGAGGTAGACCATGCAGTAACTGAGGGGAGAGATGGATTGGAACTGAGTGGAAAAGTGGTGAGAAGCAGATTCTAGAAGTATTTTGAGAGTAGAATTCAGTGATGGCATATTGGAGGTAACAAAGGAGAGAAAGACAGGAGTCAAGACCTACATAGCACTGTCATTAACTGAGCTAGGGAAGACTGTGGGAGGAGAAGGCTTGGAGGAAAGTCAGGAATTCTGTGTTGAACACACTGAGTTTAAAGTGCCTTTTGGAAATCT